AAAAAAAAAAAAAAGGAAAGAGAAGAAAATAGAAGAGACAAATAAAGTGAGGACCTTGGATGAAGGTAATTAAAACTTTTCTGAAAGATATGAAAATGATCATTTGTATAATATGGTAAAAAATACAAAGTTATACTAATGATTTGGATAAGTTTTTCAAAATTGATCACAATAGAATCTCTATAAGCAACTACTGCTCGATAACTTAACAACAGACAATGAAATATTTAAATGTTCACTTTAAATATCCGCCAAGATAGTTATGTTGTGAAAACAATGAAGTAAATAAATATCATCTAACAAATTGAAAGACAATAAGTATCGTCTTCGTGCACTAATGAAGCAGACCTGATGACTAATCTAGTTACTCATTCCTTATGAACTCTTCAGTAACAATTGATTCACGTATGTCCATTAAGTTCTTATAAAAGGATATATGAAGCATACTTCATCACATATTTCAACAATATCTTATTCATAAGTGGTCGTGGGCCTCCAATTGCCACATATCCACTCACTTATGCAAATTTAGAACCTTCAGAATAAGCAAGGAGCAGATTTTGGTGATCAAAACTTTAACGAGAATAAAGCAAAAGAATTTTCACAAATATAGCTAAAAACAAATAAATCCTCCCAAGATTTCTTTAACGATTTAGCACATCCATATTTCAGGACTCCGAGTCACATCATAAAATAACTCTAAGTCCGCACGTTAAAGGCAGCAAAATGATCAAAGGGATGAACAAAATCCACACTTTGCAGTGATCGCAGTCCTAACCTTTCAACAAACTGTGACATAATACAAAAGATCATTCAGAAACTCATACATAGTGGCTAAAAGATTAATTGTTAGCAACAAGAGTTCATCAGTATATGTAAAACAATTTCTTGGCCCAAAACTCAAGTTCATCACACATACTAAATTTTCAAGATCAGTACAAATCGTCAAAAGGAACCAGCAGAAGATGAAAGAGGGGGTCATCAGTTAGCATTACGAGTGGCCGAAAAATAAGGTCATAACATTCTTGCACTCACCCTCAGTTATCTCAGAGAAAATACTCACCTTCAGTTGTCTCAGAGAAAATAGCCATGGGAACAAAATCCTTGAACATGTTGAGCGAGTAGCTCTTGGGTACAGTCACAGACTCACCCCCAGCCATCTCCATAGTGAACTGAAGCACACACATTGAAACAAAAGTCAGAAATCAGAACCCTACATAATTCACAAACCCCCATCCAAATAAACCCCAAATTTCATAGAATCCCACAAAGAAATCGCACAGATACAACCAATCTAGTGTGTAAAGAAACAGGGGAAGAAAATGCTAACTTGGAGGGCGGGGGGATCTTCGGGCCGGAGGAGATCGAGGGAGACAACCACTTTGGCGACGGTCGGAGATTCGGCGGCGGTGGCGGCGGTGGATTGCCACGCCTTGGAGACAACGGGCGGGCACTTCATGAGCCAGACAGATCGGTCGGCTTTGGCGGTGTCGACGGTCGCTTTATCGTTACTGTGGTCATCCTCCATGGACGGGAGCTTGACGGGTGAGGAAGAAGTGTGGCGACTTATATGGACTTACGGTAACAGTTGCGACTTATATGTACTTTAAATATATAAATAAAAATTAATTAGAGTAAATATTCACATAACTAATTCATTGATTTTAAAATAAAATTATACTCCCTCCTTTTCAAAATAAGTGTCGTTTTGACTTTTTTGATTCATCTATTTTGCTATGTATCTAGACATAAATATGTCTAGATACATAAAAAAATGGATGAATCAAAAAAGTCAAAACGACACTTATTTTAAAAAGGAGGTAGTATTATTATTAACATCTTTCGTTGAAGTCTATAATCTCGGGAGCATCACTTCTTGCAATCATTTTAGTAGTATCAAAGGTATTTGCAAGGTGTGCGACCCGAATCGACCAACGGATTAGTCGGGACATAGCTCCGGATATTGTGGCTAGCTACCAAAAAAAAAGGTATTTGCAGTCCTTATAGAACCTATAACAAAAATAGGTACAATAATATCAAAATGAATAAATGAAAATTCAATATGTAAATAAAAAACGGATTAAAGCCAAAAAGTAAATAATTAATACTTTTTAACTAATTGATAATTTATCATCATCATCAAATGATTTGACTCGACACATTTGTACAACCCTCAGCTCGGATTGAATAAATTCATTGTTGTTTGCACATTTTTGGTACAAAAAAATACGACCAATGATATCTAAAAATCAATACAAGATTAGAAAATATTATAATATAGAAGAAAACTAATTTGTAAACAATTATTCAAAGTATATAGAAATTACCAATTAGCCGTGCTGAATCAACGCATATCGGATCGACAAACTTGTTGAAATTCTTAAAATTGAACATGTATCTCGGGTAGCCTTCAACAATAACTTCATGCATTCGAGTTTTGACATCAAAAAACAATTTATCTCTAAAAAATAATTTATCGCTCTTGGGAGTTGTTTTGTACATATTAAGATCGAGTACAACTTTGAAGTGCTTTATGTTACACAATACAACGGTAACTTATGAACTGACTGAAGTGTTCAGTTCGTACAAGAATAACTAAAGCAAAATAAAAATTACAACTCAAATGCAGACAGATTGAAAGCCGAGGCGATTGAAATCTTTACGCAAGACAAATACGCCCCGTATAGTGCTGACGGGTCTGTGCGTAATGTCCCCAAAGATACAACGGCAATACACTCGGAAGCTGTAGCACACCAGCCTTCAGAGTTTCAGCGAACGGAAACGAAGACGAGAACTGAGCACCATGATATGATGCGCGAGGCTTTGAGAATATTCAGATTGCATGAAAAATGTTGTGTGTTTCTCTGTAATTCTAAGTCCTATTTATAGGACTTCCACATCTTGAGGGAAACCAGCAGTCACATCTGCCACTTAAGGCAGAGATAATGGGCAGAAACGTTTTCAGGTGTTAACTCGCCATTAACCAAGAGTTATCACCATTAACTGGTAATCAACACCATTAACACTCCACATGAAATGTCAGGTGTTACATTTCACATGAAAGGTCATGTGTCCAGGTTCATTGTATTGTTACACAATTTGTGTTTTGAATTACAACAGGAACGCATGAACTGACTGAAGTGTTCAGTTCGTACAAGAAGAACTAAAGCAAAATAAAAATTACAACTCAAATGCGGACAGATTGAAAGCCGAGGCGATTGAAATCTTTCTGCAAGACAAATACGCCCCGTATAGTGCTGACGAGTCTGTGCGTAATGTCCCCAAAGATACAACGGCAATACACTCGGAAGCTGTAGCACACCAGTCTTCAGAGTTTCAGCGAACGGAAACGAAGACGAGAACTGAGTACTATGATATGATGCGCAAGGCTTTGAGAATATTCAGATTGCATGAAAAATGTTGTGTGTTTCTCTGTAGTTCTAAGTCCTATTTATAGGACTTCCACATCTTGAGGGAAACCAACAGTCACATCTGCCAATTAAG